ATCAAAGGGTAGATTATGATGTACCGGGTAGGCCAAAAAGGTAGATCATGGTCCATCAGGTAGATCAAAAGGTAGATCAGTAATTTCAGACTTACATTGATGCTTTGATCAGCTGTTGTTTTTCATAGTTGCATTTGCCCTGATACTGCTTCATTTCTCTGGTTTCCAAGTCTTCGAAAAGAGTCAAGGAGAAAAAAATAAAGTCAAGGAGAAAAAAAAAATAATGACACTTTCTGCATTTACTCCCTCGCCAGGAATTAAATGGAAGTGTGTCATTATCTTGAGGAGTAGCACTACGAATTTATAGAATTTGAATTTGTGCAGAAAAGAAGGAAAAAAATTGATAATTTATTTTATTGCGATTTTTCGCTCATTTTGACAGCGAATTCTGAGCGATATATGATACAAACAGGACCTATTTAAATGCAATGCTTTTGCCAAAAAAGAAAAAACACAGTACAGGATTGGAGCAGTAATTTGTAACGTCTCTGAAGGTGAAATCACAGGGCAAGATGGCACACCTGTTATTCAAGTGGTGCCGAAACCGTGCGCTGAAAGTATGGGCGATCATATACATATTTTTGCTTAGCTTTTATACTTGCTCGGACTCATAAAAGAAAAATTTTTAGAAAAATACAGCGTTTTCGTCATTTTTGCAAGAATATCGGGAATCGTTCAGTGATCCACTGGTCAAAGGACATAGATTCTTGGAAGATGATGGCGAACTTGATTACCCAGCCTGTGTTGAAAGCTTCCGTGCAGTTGCTGAAAAAATTCCAAGGTTTGTTTATTTTTTTTTTTTTTTTTGAACCTACCTTTTTTTTTGAACTGGTATAGTTTTTCCGAATTGTGATTGTGCTTTTTCTCTCCAAATAATACCGTGTTGAGCATGATTTTTAGCATCTATGAAAATCTGCTTGCGCTAGCAAAAGCGTGCGAAGAGTTGGACCTGCCGCGCCATGATGAGATGAATTCGCACCACGAAAAAGGTAAGTTAAATTTTTAAACACATATGAAGAAGCCGAAACCCTCTCCGTATTTCACCCTTTAGGAGAGGTAAAGGCACCCCAAGAGTAGCCCTATTGTCAGCTTATCCAGTGTTAGTCATCCGTTAACCAAGGCTTTCGGTGGCTCCCTCTTTAATGATTACTTACAAACAGATGTTAGCTTCACCTTGCAACATATGAAAAAATATTGTGCACCAATATGGCTATTATCATTTTTAGGATATGAGGGACAGCAACAACAAAATCTACATGGGAAGCATGTTGTGAAACGAGTGCTGATGAAACTGGACGGCGTTGTTTCAAACGATTCAGGCAAGAACCAGAAGGATGTACACGGCAAAACTGAGACTTTGACTGTTGCTGAACAGGTCCAGTTTCTTTTTTCCAGCTCGAGAACCCACATGTCAAAGGGCTGTCAGTTAGCTTATACTTTGCAACGAATTGCCTATCCTTCTAATACAGTTTTGCTGGAAGCAGCAACGTACGAATGAGAAACGCGGTCACTGACGAAAACAGAAAAGACCCTTTCGTTACCAAATGAATGGCACCACTCAAACAGCCTTTTAAGAGATGTAGCACATACATGGCTTTTTTTTCTTCATTTTTTCTACTCCATCATTTTCTGTTTGCCCTTTAATAGGCATGAGTACTAACTGAAGATGTTCAGCTCAGAATTGGAAGGTCCAATCTAGATGTATCCAGTGCACAGGAACGGCACTAACATCGATCAATGAAGGGGCTCAATAGACAACTGCTTACTTTGTTCACCTGCTTTTCCATTATTGCAGCTGACAAATTTTGCAATTCCCATGACCTTGATTGACCATTGATCGTTTCTGAGGCTTTTCCCGTCACAGACATTGATTGGCAAAGCCTGAACCATTTCGAGATGTTCTGCAGATGTTGAGATTATTAAGTGAAACTGAAAGTTGGCGAATGCAAAAAGATAAAAAAGCATCGAAAAAATTTGTCAACTTATATTTATTTTTGTTCCCATAGTTTTTTAGCCAAGTGTCAGATTCAGCGGGATTGAAAAATATCCAATTTCATATCATTGTAATTTGTCGATTTCAGGTTGATTTATTGATTCGACAGGCTATGGACATAAGCAACTTGTCTTTGATGTACGAAGGATGGACAGCTTGGGTATAGAATTTAATTTGCAAAAGCGTTTTTGTTCTAAAAAGGTAAGCATTCTAGTAGTTATTTTTAAATTCTTCTCCGTAATTTCATGTACAGATAGTTTTGAATTCATTTCACCGCTGATACCGGTGAAGCGTAGTTTCGTTTTGGGGGGCCGTATCCCCTCGATTTCGTGAGATGTGACTTTATATCTAGGAAAAATAAAAACGAGCTGTTTTTTGTTGGAGTTTGCTTCTGTTTCAGGGGTTCCAATCTCCTTGATGAAATCGGTGTTGCCGCGCGCGGCTTTGCCCAACACAAACATGAGGTGGTCCCTGTATATTACCATCTTCGGGACACCTCATCCTCGAGGCCAGCAACAACTGCTGGTGCTCCTGGTGCAAGTTTGTTTAAAAGCGCATTGCCGACTGCGGGCTACTTATAATCGTCATCATCATCATCATCATCGTTGTCACCGTATACTGATGATTATCGTTGGGACGAATCTCTGCGAGCTTGTGAATTTGGCGAATCGCGTCGCTTGGGTGTATGATGGCGTTCGTTGGGCGACCTCGTTTTCACGTTCTTCTGGAACGATACGGACGGAAGCAAATTAACTTTTCATTTCTTTCCCTTTTTTTTTTTTATTGTATGTTTCTGTGTTTGTGATCCTGGATCGACCCTTTTTTTGTCTCACATGTTACAAGTTGGAGTGTGGATATTGTGTTGTGGAAGGGTAGATCTATAATATGGATTGTTTGGCGGTATACTATTGCCTGAAAGTATAGATCATTACCTGTCATTTCGACCTTTCCCTCTACTCGATTTGCTTGCAGTTATTCCATTTGTCTGTCGCCTTTTTTTTTCTTTGATTACAAGCGACTTTATCAATTTTCGTGTTTCAAATTTTTATTGAAAAATTGCTGTGTTCCACATAAAAAAATTTGAGATTTCTGCGATTTCGCAAATCTCATATAACAAGCTCTTCATTTCCGGGATTTCGCAAAACCTCGTATATCAAGCTATCCATTTCTGGGATTTTGCAAAATCTCATATGTCATGTTCCTTTCTTTAATCTTTTTTTTCACACAAAAAAATTTGAATTTCTTGAGATCTTGGATTCCGGAATTTTTCTTTTCCCCAACCGAAATACATTATTATCGCGGCATATAACTGGTTTACTAAATATGTTCATGGTTGGAAGCATCTTGCTGCTGGAGTAAAAGTTACTATTTCCCTGTTGTTGTCATGTAAAAAAAAGGAAAAAACAACGAAAACCGGGGGAATCTGCTGTCAGAAACAGTTGTCAATTCGGGGCAAACAGTTTTAATGAGGTGCAAGGCTGTGCCTGCTCTTATCCGTGGAATGTCCGAAATTTTTTAATTAGCCCCATATTATTTGAATCCCTTTTCTCCTCAATAAACTATTATTATTCAAACCCTTCGTTTATTTCAGAGTTAGGCGAACATGCAGCTGAGTTTTTGGGCGAATTTTTTAAGTAGTTTTTTTTATTCATGAAGAATTGAAACAGGCGACACATTGCAAGAAGTATTCAC